GTTTGCTGCATGGTGATACTCCTGAAGCACCTTGGTTGTGCAAACGTGGGGTGTCCCTGGGCTCATGGAGCTGCTGGTACCCCCGAGTTGGTAACCTGGACATATGCTCAGCATTGTACTGGCCTTTTCTGGAGACGGAAAGACAGTGTAAACATGTAGTGAAGGAGGATATGAAATAAACCATGAAAAGAAGAGACAGGAAAAGACAAAAGGAATGCAATTCACACATACAAAAAATAGGTAAAATAGAAGTGAATGAAATTTCTAGACATGTGATACTTGAGGTATTTCCACTGAGAAGTGCCCCTCCAGAACAAGCTGCGTGGAGACGATGCATATATGTCAGTACCTTGTAGCAAATGTTTTTCCAGGGTGTGGAGATTCTATTTCAAACTTTGTCCACAACAACTTCCTTCTCTTCAGACTCCTATATATTCTTCATTTAAGCACAGTAACCTACACCATTTAGGTATCTGTCGATATTTGCTATTGCTCCAATTCAAAGAAGGAAGACATGGGTCTTTTTTTCACCTGAGTTCTTCTTCAATGTCTGCTGTGCTCTAAMTGTAGGGTCAACTCTCAACTGGGGTGATTTGTGACTAAGATGCTCTAGATAAAATAAGATTGCTGCTACTGCTTTTTCTACCTTTCTGTTTCTACCTTTGCAGAGCATCACTCACCGCTGGATAGAAACAGGGCTGTTAAACTGGGTACCTTCTGCAAGAACAGGGAGAGCCGGCTGGGGCTCCAGGGCAGGTTATCTGCATTCCCGTGGTGCATGGGCTGACCTAGGAAACCTCCCCACTTCTAGCTCATCCCTGAAAAAAACCCTTAACACTAGCTTGGTCAGCATAAGAGCCAATTCCACCTCAGAAAAATTAACCGCTTCTGCCCCTCGATTGATGGAAGCATTAACCATAGACTGTCACCAAAAAACACACAGCGAGAAGAGATCGTCTGCACTATGGTGCCAAGGTGGAATAAATTGAATTGAGTAGACTATCAGTGTGTACCTGGAAAAATGTTCTGGCTTCAGGGGAACTTGGAATAATGTTTTGGCTTAAGACTTACTCTACTATAAACAAGTGAGGCAATGACCATCTCCTTTCTATAGGGAGTACCAGCACCAAGAAGGGCTTATTCTAGTTCATACAGTACAACTGCCCTCCAAATGGAGCAGATCTATTAACCAAATAAGTGGGCAGTCAGATATGCCCTTCAGCAACCCGAGTGCTGCTGCAGTTCTCCAGTTCCTAAATGACATGTTGCACCACCCAGGGAAATAGCAGGGTTGGAATTGTTTTCATTCCCAGCATGGCGTACAGGATTTTCACATACTTATATTTCCTCTCTCAGTACCTATGCTGCTAGGAGGAGCAGAGAAATTAATGAAGAGTTAATGGCTAAAAGGATAGAAATAACAGGCAGATCAGAGCTGATGTAATAAGCTCAGTAAATCAATATAATCAGGAGGCATCGATCAGTGGAACACAAAATGCTTTTGTTGCCATCAAAATCAATACTGAAGGGAAAAAACAGATGTACACAAACATATACATGCAGCTTGGCTACTAAACACAGAAAATTCAGAATTTTCCTAAATATTTAGGGCTTCCCCATGCCCCATTTCCTTGGGGTTCTTCTGTTACATAGGAAACCCAGGTAAGGCTCTAAAGAGTCTGACAGCTAATAGAGATTATCAATTTGGGCATCAGAGCAACTGACAGCTAATAGAGATTATCAATTTGGGCATCAGAGCAACTTGCCCATGCTCTGCTTTTGCTATGCTCATTTCAAAAAAAATAGAGAACAAATTTCAACCTGTATAAACTGTTTTTTCTCCTATATTTTAATCTCCCTTGCTTTGGAGATGATAAGGACGGATAGGAAGGGAAGAAAAATATGCATAGTTTTCTGTACTTCACAACTAGGCTTATCATTTTTAGGGAGTTTTAAAAAGAAGTTGAAGCTTGCTGTCCTTCAAAAAAGAGTAAAATTATGATGACCTAGTAATAATAATAATAATCATAATACTTTTTTTTCCTTAATGTTGATGTAACTTTAGTCTCTAGTTAGACTAATCAGTGAGGAAACCATTTTTTTGGCACCTATCAAAAAGGAATTTCAAGTTATCTGATATATCTGAGTATTTTTACTGTGCTCTTCCTTTGGATATCCCTAAAGGATCAGGACTTCAAGCTCAGAACAGTGGTACAAAATCCCAGAGACTAAGTGGCATTGCTGGCACTCAGAAGTCTACATTTCAGAATGAAATTCTTATTCTTTTTTTTTWAATGAGAATTAAGCTATTCCTCTGGTCCTTATCTTATTATATATGAAATCTCGTTAATTCTTAGTAGTAAAGTCACCCATTCTTTGCAAAAGAGCTTAGCCGACTTTCCATCACACGCTGAGAATAGATGCTTACACAATAATCTGTAAATCTAAAGACATTTTAGATCAAGAGCAGTAAGATAGAATTGCATTTAATTTAGCTTATTAGTTTTCTTATTGTTCTGTAATGGCTAGAAGCCCTAATCACTGGTTAAGCCCTCTTAAGTGCAAAGTGTTGTACAAACAGGCAAAAACTCTGAGCTCATCCCAAGCGGTTTAAAATCTTTGCAGCAGAACAAAAGGCAATAGATTTCCATAAGATAGTGGGAAAGCCCAAAACTAATACAATGTCAAGAGTTTTTGAGATTTACTTGTAGCCTCACCTCTCCTATTCGTTTTTTGTTCTTTTTCTTTGGTGTTGAAAAACCACTGAAAATCCGCATGGAGAAATGACGTTATCACTTGGAGAAATGATATTACCGCTGACATTAGCTGAAGTTTGGGACTTCGGATTCAGTGGGCTCAGCTCAGTTTCCCTGTTTTCACCGTGCTGAAATTTATTTCCCTGAGAGGGTTTTGCCTGAGGGTTTTTTACGCTTTCACTGACTGATGCTCACATCAATGTCTAGACTTTACAATGTCCAACTGTACAGTTAATRCTCCATTATAACTCTAAAGTGACTCCTAAATTAGGGAAGAAGATTACTCCTTAAAAGTGCCCATTCTCTCAGGAGTTATAAAGTCAGTCTAGGCTGATATTTCCCTTACAGATATCTGAAGCTGTGTGAGATGAATTCCACCCTACAGAATCAGTCTTTGGTATCTAGAAATCTTCTCCAAAGGTGAGAAGGGGCTATAGAAAATAGAAAGCCAATAGGGTGGATGTTGGAGTATTTTGCATCTTTACTTTCATTCGCATAATTTTGAACAGACRTGAACGGGTCTGACAGATCAATGTCTGACTTTTTTGGTCTCTGACATTTCTACRAGCGAGTCTTCCTTCTGTCTTGAGGACAATGGGCACAAGGGAACTGGACATGCAGTTCACTTGCAGTCACCGTGTTGGCGAGCGGTRGAGTCAGGATTAGAGTCTGCAGTACCGAATCCCAGCCCAGCGCGCTGTCCTTAGCAAACCCTCTCTCCCTCTGTGTGCTTAATTGGCAGATTTATTCAATGCGATGGGTGTCTCCATCAAACACACATAATGATGGAAACACGTTGCATGGCCAGCATGTGGTCAAATGGCTGTTTATGTCCCCACAGACCATGACAAAGGGAGCAAAGGACGGGGATCATCAAGCAGCAGAGGAAGTGATTGCTGTGTGGTAGCCAAGGGGAAAATGTTTTTAACCAGAGGGAGACTTTAGGACATTCCCAACCTACATAGGACCTAATCTAACCTGCAGGGTTGCGTATGCGTTTATGTTTTAACATGCTTGCATATATTTCAACTGTTATTATTATCATATTTTCTACAATAGAAACTCTCTCACTGCTTCCCTCTTTCCTCGGTATGTGTCCTCTCCCAGTATAACTTTAACATTTCTTCAAACTTTTCACCATGTTTTCCATATCTTGGTCGATCACTTGTACCTCTGCAAGGCCTCTCATTGCCTCCTACCTGTTCTCTCTCTTTAGCCAAAGCAAATATGCAGATTCCCTTCTGTATTCTCACTCCGCTGAAGGGAATGGAGCTTTCCTTGCTCTCCCACTTAGTCACATCTCTCCCGTTTTCAAGCTCTTCCATCCTTCTTCCTCTTTCTTTCCCAGTCTTTATTGGCAGTTTTCTTTAGATCGCATTCCCAGCTCTTAGTCACGGCAGGTTTGACATGCTGCTCCACCTGCTCTTGCATCTGCAGTACTTAGGTTGATTTTTTCTCTCTCACAAGAACCTCTCTTGCAGATCCTCCTACAACCCCTATGCACTCCCTGACCCAGTGCTCCTGCCCTCCTGTCCCTACCACCTTCCCTGCCCAGTTCACTGACATGGTTCTTTACAACATCCCAAGAGCTGCTAGTGCCAAGGGGCAGCTTTCCAACACTTTGRCATCTAACAAATCATCCAAAAGTGCTGGAGGGATGTGTGTTTCCAGCCTGTGGTGGTTTYATAAGGAGCAGCACCCATTCCTCACCACAAGATCATTACCTACCCATGAGCATTGGCCCATGGGAGCCTGAGCCGTGCCCCCTGCCTCCTATACAGGCTAAGGGCAGCACATTTTGGAGCAAAGCGGGCGTGGGATTTTAACAGCCAAAGCCCCACCTGGCAGCAGGCAACCTCACACCAGCTGCTTTGCTTTGCTGGGCCCCCAGCTTGTGCTCCATGCACACTGTGCACGGTGGTTCTCTTTGCACACTTGCTCTCCTGCCATCCCTGTCCTCTCCTCTCCCGTGAAATTGTGCACAACAGAAATGGATGTGGCGGTAACGAGGACTCCACGGATCTGATCGCTGTGTCCTGTGAGGCTGAGGCATTGACCACTGGAACACGGCCTCAAAATAATCAATAGTGCAGGGTGACACGCAAAGCTCGCCCGGCCAACCAGGGATAGTTTGGGGTATTTCCTCATTCGCTGGAGAGAAACAACCGTTTGCTTAATAAAACTCTGCACTTGGGAACATTTTTGCAGCTCTCTCCAACTAGCACATGTGAAGACAGGAGAAATAAAGAGCTTGAAACCAGCTGAGGGCAACTGTGAAGCCAGGAGGACATTCTAGCCCTGTAGAGAAGGTAAGCAAAGTTATTTACTGACTTCTCTCAGCATTACGAAGCAAACTTTCTAAAACACTGGTTAAAAATTAGAAGCTTGCTCTAGCTGCCTTGCTTAACGAAGCTGTGGAWAGCACCTTTGCTGAATTAATGAAGCATTTTGAGTGCTTCTGGCAATCTAGGTTGTTTTCCTAAGCTGTAATAATACAGCCGGATCCTCTGATGTAAACAGGTAGCAAAGCAGTGTTGATTTTGGTGGTMGAAACTCTCATTAGATCTGGTGGTTGATCCTCAGGTAAATTGTCCCTGCAATTTGAAGTGGTATTGAGATAGGTCAGAGAAAATGGGCCAGATCCTTCCCCCACCATGGAAACCAGTCAGATCAGCAYCATGTTGCTTCACACCGGGCGAGAAATGAGCCCTCTGGCTATATGGGAGCGATGTAGAAGAGGATTTGTAGCTCACCTATGAGATCTAAGTTTTGGAGAAGGAGGTGAGGTTGTGCCTGTCCTTATTTGCTCCTCTCTGCAAGGGGAATAGGTGACCTGGGTGAATGCATGCAAAAGCAAGGGCTGGAATGAAATGGGAAAGTAGAGAAAACAGGCAGGAAAAAAGGCAGTATAAAAACACTTTGCTTCTATGTGCAAACACTGTGAACATTTGGAAGAAAAAGAAGTAAAATATCCCAGCCTTGAGCATTATATAAGTAGTAGTTCATGGCCATAAAATAAGAAGTACCTCTGTTAAATTCACCTTTCTGAAATAGGTTAATCTCAGCTAACTTGTTTTAGAACTGCAGTGCAATATATATAATGCGACTGTAAAGTGCTCAGAGGAGAAACTGTATAAGCACAGTGCTCTTATTACATTCACAGCAGCAGAGGACAATGCAAATTTTTCTCTGTAGAAGTGCAAGCTCAGAAGAAGTCCCTGTCAACCTCAACTACCTCACAGCAACATACATCATCCCTTAAATCTTTCTGTTTTCTCTCTCAGTTACACATGTCTGAGCACAGCAGCCTGTCTTCAGGCCTTACCTCACCATTTCGCTGTCCTCCTGTCAGCAAAGCCAGATGCAGCCCATCTCTGGCTTTCTGAAACATCTTCACACTCTCTTTTACTTGGACCTTTATACTTGGAGAAATCCGTCCAGGMTGGATGGATTTTGTTTACTCCTGGTCTGCTTAATACCTTCTCAGCACTGACTTCTGCCACAAAACATTCAAGATTAGCCAATGCACATGACTAATTTGAGGGGCATTTTGCAGTTTGCTGCCTTTGTTGTCACAAAAACTATTTGTATGCAAGCACCGGTGTGCGTGCATGTATGGGAGCATGTACATGACTGTAATGTGGCTGTGCAGGTGGGTCACCTTCCTACTCTTGCATTTTACAACCTATGTGTTAGGGAGCAAAACCATATTTGCCACAGCTCCTTTTGTCAGCCTCCTTTGAGGAAAGAAAACCGTAGGTGATATTTTGTGATTTTATGCAGTTGCAAGCCCTGAGCTGGAGGGAAGCAATGATTAAATTGATAATGAAGAAGCTTTAATCAGTTTGTGCTACAAAGTTAACGACAATGTGAAAGCTCAAGAATCTCAGTACCAGGAATTTGAGTTCAATTTCCAACATGTCATGGAGAAATAACAGTAGCTCCACTTTAGTATTGACCAGCCTTTTCTGTTCTAGCTATCTATCACAGCATAGGTGCTCTGTGAGCTGGGATTGCTCAGGCTGGTGAAGGGGAATCTCACAGCTGCCCAGGCCAAATCCAGATGTGGAGTTAACAGAGATGATGGAGCCAAATTCTCCTCTGTGCTGGCAGAGGATATGACAAGGAGAAACAGTCACATTTAGAGCTTTGGAGGTTCAGGCTAGTCACTAGGAAAGACTTCTCCACCGAGGGGTTATGGCAGTGCCCCATCAGGTGACCCTGAGAAGTGACAGTATCTACATCCTTGGTATATTTTAAGGCTCATCTACAGAAAACCATTGCTGAAAGCATGACCTGGTGTTGGTGGTTGTGAAGTTTTCAATGGAAGGTTGGACTAAGGGCCTGCAGAGGTCCCTCTCCACTCTATGATTTCTTGATTTCAAAAGAAAAATCCAATGATTGTGAAATAAAAGCCACTGTTTTTCATATTCTGCCTAATTTCTGAAAATGAGGTAGGGTGGTTCAGTGACTTGGTGCGTCCCACCAATAACTTATCCTTAACAAATAGCACAAGATTATCCATGTTTCTACTCTTTTTGATACTTTAACATAGGCAACAAAAGAGTCTTGCAACCCATAACCTTATTTGCCTTTATCTATAGGATAGGCACAGCACAGAAAACAGCATTGAAAGCTGCTCCAATTCCAGCTGGCAGTGTAACCTCAGCTGAAGCTGGTGAGGCACCAGAAGAGGAACTCTGGTCTGCCCAGCTCCCAGAGCTGGACTGACTTCTTCTAGGACATTTCCTGCTCTTAAAGACCTCCAGTAATGGGGATTTCAAATTAGCCTCCCAAAACATTCACTCTGACATCCTGTAGAATCCATCTCCCCATTTACCTAGACCTTCACCCTACCAAAAAGTCTGCCAGCCTGGGTATCAGTTTGTGCAGCCACAATGATGTTCCCAAATAGCTCAGAAAAATGTCTGTTAACAATTAATGTAAAACTATCAGCTCATTTCATATCAACATTTTTACTTCTTGCAATTAAAAAACCCTTAAGTATATTTCTTAATAATTCCATTTTGAATAAAGACTCTGGAGGGAACAGGCTCTGTAGAGGAATATTATCTGTGTAAKTCTTATCTGGAATATTTCCTGCTTAAAACAAGTTCTTCTCTCATTAAAGAATAAAACTGCTGAAATCTCATGCTTTAAGTGTTGCAGTTACTCAAACTTTCTATGTCTTTCCTCAGCAGTGAGCTACCATGTGCACACGGAAGTGTTCAAAGTGCATTGGGATCACCCTGTTCCCACTGGCTACRTGTGCCATAGTCTCCAATCTTCTCCTGTACTTTCCCAATGGACAAGTTCTGCAGCCAAGTGAGATAACTGACCTGGTCTGGTTTTTCAATGGCATTGTGGGAGCTGGGATACTGGTAAGAGAAAAGTGTTGCTCTTGTCACTTCTGTTTGTTAACTAAGAAAACCTCTGCTAATTTAATGAAAAAAACATCATAGCAATGTCTTTTTAATTTTTTTTTCTGGAAACCTTGTCTGGGAAAGTGGTGTATAAAAAGAAAAAAAAATGTGTTCAATACCATTTAGGTCCTTAATTATAGGAATACAGTTTATTTCTGAAAATGAATGTTTTGCAAGTCACAGAGAAGGAATCAGGCTGGCTTTTGCTGTGGGGTAACGTGGGTGCTCATATCTTGGTGGATCAAAGCAGGGTTGAGGTAGTGAGTTTTTACTTAAGCCTGAACTCCCTTGGTACTACTCTGTCTGATTTTTTTCTCACCTATTTCCCAAGAATGCTAAGGGTAAATGCTGTATGTTCCTCCACATTCACATCCTGTTGGGTTTGCTTTGGGTTTTATTTTACTGTTCTGTTACCAATTCTCCATTCCACTGTTTTTAAGTGAATATCCATAATCAGCATGGGACATGTTCTGCTATATTGGTCTATTCCTGGCTTATTAGAAGAACTGCTGCCTTTGCACCCTTTCAATTGTCCAACACAAATGCAGCTAAAAAGCCAAGCAAAAATAATATGACCAGCTGCATATTGCCTATATAATGAMTGTACAGTCTAGACAGAGGATAAATTAGCACCAAGCTGGCTACCTGCATGTCATTAACTGACTGCCTAAGAAAAACTAATTTATGAGAAAAGCAAATCTCACCCTCTGACGCAGTCACTGCTTAAGTCTATAGAAAAACTAACAATGGACATGGTTCAGACTTGTATTTCCCAAAGCAGAAGCGTTGTATAAGAGCATTCAACAAATTGGTCATCACCAGCAGCTTGTCTGCTTCTTCTTTTAGCTAGCACTTGGGCCTGTTACTCATGCTGAGCTTGAACGTAAGCATGAGTGTGTGGAGGAAGCCTAAAGGAAGAAGGGGAACTACGAGACACCTGTGCAAAAGCCCTATCACTGCAAGCCCAGGAGTCATTGGCTTTCCATGAAAGGAAAGGCAGATGTTTAGCATGAGAACATGACAAGCTCATTCAGACCGTGCCTTCCTTTGAGGCCTCCACCAAAAGGTTGCCTGTGGCCAGCACTGTGCACATCAAAACCGAGAGCAGCAAGTGAGAGGGGAGGAAAAAAACACACTATTCTTTAAAACAAAGACAGCAGCACTAGGAGCAATTATTGATTATGGTAATTGCAGAGAAAATGCTGTTGAGTGTGCATGTTTTCCAGAAAACAGCATGACAGATGCCCACAGGTGAAAAGCAGGAGGAAGAGAGCATTGGTGCCATTTTCCAGGGTGGAGGGAGCTGAAACAAGGAGAAAAGAGGACAGGCAGAGAAATAACCCAAGGGCAAGGGGTGCTCCACGATGCTCTCAGCAATCCTGTTCCCAGCCTGAGCCCAGGCCATATCCTGACTCCCTAGCAAGGACAGACTGGGCTGCAGCCCATTCCCCCATGCACCCAGGTAGCTCCCCAGGGAAACCCAGGGCCAGAGGAGAAAGTCCCTGGAGTAGGTCACCTAACTTGGTAGCTTCTCTGCACACAAGACACTTGGAGCCTCCTGGAGCCAGGACAGTGAGGGGAACACAGTGAGGGRAACTTCATATCAGACATCCTTGCTTTGCTCCATCAACCAGAATATCTTTCCTCCTCCGCCACCACTTTTCTGGTGGAATTTTATATAATTTGAGAGCTTCTCAGTTTCCTCATTTCAGAAATCTAGGGTGTAAGGAGAGGACTGTGTCATAGCAATGTCTTTCCTGACAGAAATTCTACATGCAGATYGGGAAAATGCCTGTATGAGCCACGTGGTCCTCATTTTACTGACAAGAAACAAATCTAGCAAATTCTCATTCCAGTGCCAAAAAGCAAACATTTATAATCACAGAATCACAGAATATTCAAGATTGGAAGGCACCTCTAGAGATYATCTAGTCCAACCTTCCTGCTCAAGCAGGCACACCTACRGCATGTGACACAGGGYGGCATCCAGGCGGGTTTTGAAGACCTCCAGAGAAGGAGACTCCACAACCCCCCTRGGCAGCCTGTTCCACTAATCAGACACTATAAAAAAAGAAAGCTGCCAAACAAACCCTTCATCCTGAGCCAGGCTAATAAATAAACGAAAAGTGCTCACAGCTGAGTCAGGAAACCTCCAAAAAAGAAAGATGGCCCTGGAGGAAAGGGAGTGCTGGTTTGAAGCATTAGTCTCTAGAGGGCTAGGCTGTGACTCTGGGCCTATGCTGCCTATGGACCACCTATGGATATTCAAGAAATGACTCTTTCCAGGAAGAAAAATGTCTTTTTAACCTCAGTGCTCTGCCTCTACTGTCCTCAAACTGTGGTCAGGGACCACTGAGGATTCTAAGGGGTGCATAAAAGGTAACTAAAAAGAGCAAAATCCACTGGAAAATGTTTGGGTGTCKGCAAATCCAAAAAGGCTTCATAACTCTGTCCTTCACAATCTGACATGGACAGGCATACTCTATACATATATGTCCCATGCTTCACTTATAATGGACATCCTGTTAATTTTGYCCTAAAACTCCATCAATCTAAAATCTACTCAGGTTGTGTTAAGAAACTGGGTTAAGAGTGGTATAGCAGAGCCTTTTGTTGTTTTTRTTGTTGTTTTTCTGTTCTTCTTTGGTTTACTGTACAAGTAAAATTTCCTACTTTATCAAATACTTCTTTTCTTACATTGCTCTGTGAAGTGTCTGMACAAATGGGTTGGCAGAAGCAAAGCAACAGGAAGGCTCTGGCTGATAGCTAGACCCAGAAAAACCTTTATTTCCCTATAGCTACCAAAYTAAATGCAGCCTTCCCATTCCAGCATGTCTGCATGGGCCGCTGTTATACCCTGAGACAYGAATTACTGCTGACTTCATTGGAGCAGTCCTGCTCCATCTGCTRATCACTATGCTGAAAATTCCTGTGAATTGAGAGATACCCACTCAGTGAAGTCTATTTTGTAGTATTTCCAGAAGTATCACAAAATCATGCTTCAGGAAGTTTAATTTCTGAATTCTAATCTGGATCAGGTTGCTTATAAACAATTCTTACCCCGGTAGTTCATTAAAATTCTTCAGAGTCTGCTGAAGAGAGAGCTGAGTGGGAAAGATTTTCTTTGCCTCATGGAAATCTACACTATTTAAAAAATATATATCTGTATGATCATGATTTTGTTGTTGTTGTTGTTGTTGTTGTTGTTGTTTACATAGATACATGAAAATCTCACTCTGATAGGATCCCAATGATTAAAACATTCAATTAAGACACAGGAGCATGGGTAAAGCTTAAGCTACCACTGGGCCTTACTCAAACGAGACATTTGAATGGTGATCTCTAAGCCCCGGTGTCCTGACCACTTTCTACAGAGCAGATGTTTTGACATTCTCTGACAGCTTTTCTGTCAGACCTGTCCTGGTATGGCCAGGGAAAGTGACTGACCTTAATCTGCAGTGTTCAGCACACCCATGTGGAGGGTGGAAGACTAATATTCATGTTCGAGACCAGAAAAAAAGATATGAAAGTTGGCCTCCCACTTCCATAGCCCCAACAGCAAATCTATTGGCTACACTGGAGCAGGAGGAAATCCTATAAGGGCAGAACTTCCATTTTGTCAGAATTGATATCTGTCCCTCGGGGAAAAAAAAAAAAACCCATGTGAAAGAAATTCACCCCATGTGAAAGAAATTATTGTATGTTTTAGAAATTTGCCAGCAAGTTCCAGCTGTCCTCCCACACTTCCTCCTGATCTTGCTTCCTACTGTAAGCASTAATGTCTAAGCAGGTATAACTCACAACGGGGCAGCAGATGGTTTAGATTTGAGTCACATCTCAGCTCTTAGACTTTAATAAAAGTCCCAAAACACTGCAAAAAAAAAATAAACAGCTTGTGCTTTTCTCGCAGGTTATGTTGCCGGCATTTATGATGCTGGGAGCAGGCGGAGCAGGATGTTGCGCTAACAAATGTGGGGTAAGTGGACATTTATGTGTTGAAACGTCACTATAGGTTTTGCACAATAGCTCTTAAATGGCTGCTTAGCATGTGGAAAGGTACAATGACAAACCATGGGCAGTCAAGTCAGGAAAATGAAGAAGCAGAGCTTGATCTACAGCGTCTCTGGGCTGAGGCTAAAAAATCAGTTAGCAAGCAAGAATGTTATGATATTGCAGCCACTGATATAAGTCACTGAAATTATACATAGCCCGGACAGGTACTGGTGCCTTTAACCATGATACTGAGTTTCAAGGGGCACAACATTGCTTTATTTATCCTCCACAATGTAAAATACTGATCCGGCTTCTTCCTGCTCAAGGAGATCCTAAGAGCCAAGGCAGCTGCCCATTTCTTCTACTKTCATCTGGTGCTTTCCCCCCATACTCTTTTGTGGTGATTTCCTTTTCCACAGATTCATTCTTCCTTACCCCTGAATGGACAGATTAATTGGCTGCCTCGTTGGCCACCACTATGGGGGCAAAAAGGAATTCCCTGAGTGCCAACACTTGAGCTGCTCTGGTGGGCGCAGAGGAACAGGGGCTGTTTCACTGAGGTTGGCCCCAGCCTCAGGTGCTCTGGGGACTGATCCTGCCGAAGCTTTGATGTGTAGCACACATTTGCCCAAAGGTTATGGACATAAGTGGTGCAAATGCCATTTGGGCTTTTTGTCATGCAAATGAAGGACAGAATTTCTTTTTTTGGTAATTAAGAATATTATAAAGCAACAGGCTTTATACAGGTATCTCAGTTATTTTCAAGCCTTGGGAACAGACTGCTATGTGGCCATTCTCATTAACAAGAATAAATTGAATGAGAAAGGCTTGCCTAATCTTCAGACTTCCCCAAAACAATTTGTAAGTGGATTCCATACAGTAAAGAGGTTCTCTTCTGTACATTTCAATTAATATTAGGTTTGATCCATGCTACCTTTGCCTCTTCAAGTTGTTTTACTTCAGTTAATTTGTTATTAATAATACCAAATTGCATTCTTCATTAAGATGCCAACAAGTACATCACAAAGGACRTGCCATGACACAGATTTTACCAAATACGACGTGCACAGTGGGGAGGATTTGCTAAGGATTGCCAAGTAGGCCAGCTACAGAGCTGGGAGGTGAGCCTCAACCCCCAGAATCCAAAGCCTTAGCCAGCTGCTTCCCCTAATTTTGAGTAATATAAAAAAATGAGATCAAAAAAGACAGTTCTGGGTAGTACTGTGGGTGCTCACATGCTCTGCAGAACAGGCTGCAGGGAAATTCAGCTGAACAGGGCTCAGTTGCAACGTGAWGTGTAGGGTCTCCCTCCTCAACCTTCCATCTCCATGGTAAATATTCTACTGGTCCCCCCAGATTAAATCTGTGCCAAGAGTCAAACTACTGCAGACAGGTTGGGTTGGTTGCCTTATCTGACTCCCTCCATCTGCTGACTCGGCCAGTAGCCCGCTCTACTTGGCAGCCCACATCTGCAGGCTGCCTGCCCTCTGCCACTCTGCTTGGCATCCTCTGTCCTTTGAGAAGYTGCTCAAGGCTTCTGACAGCACCTTCTCAGTACTGACAAGTTATATATGAGCTGCTCCTCCTCTATGTTATGGTACAAGAACAGTAACAACCAACTCTGAGAAAACTGTGAGAGTTTCTCTAGACTTTCTAGAGAAAACAGATTCTGTTAGAGTATACTTTCTGTATAAAGAAAGACAGTACTAAGTGATGAAGCTGCTCAAACAAAACTAGAGAAAAAAATAGTGACAATTATTAATCTTTGAAATTGTTGTTTTCTGAGACCATGGGGATTGCCCTCCTTCCTAGGATGGAAAGAGGTACAGTTCTCCAAATTAGCCTATGGCTTAAACGGAATGTAGTTCTCTGTAGAGACGAGATGGAGACATGAATAAAGAGTGAGCAACTATGAAGAGTGTTAAAAACAACAGTCCCACACGCACAGAYAGTTCTTGGGAAAAAGTGACTTCCACTCATGGAATAAGAGTTGAATTTTGCAGGTGCATCTGAAGGCTGATGTGTTCCCTCGGAGGAAGAGAGCTTGGAGGATAGTAGGAGGAATAGTGCAAAGATCCACATTAGGGTTGCTCAGCCTTCCTGACTGTATGAGCTGTAAACCCAAGCCTGAGTATGGTGTGAGCCACCAGKCTGGAGAGCAGGAGCTCCAGGACCGGTTCAAACATGCACAACGACAGCGCTTTCCCCAGGTGTCAGCTTTCCTTGCAAGCTGGGTCCAGGGTGGACCTGAGGCCAGGCCCAAGCTCTTGGTGAATTATTCGTCAGCTCCTCCCCTGCACAACCCTTCTGGCAGGGAAATAGCCCACACTAGAACTACTTGGGAGCTAGCATGGTCCAAAAACTAGTCTGACCACCTTTCTGCTTTGAGGACCTTGCATGTAAAAAAATAGGTTTACAGAGAACACTCAGCATTGGTTTTCATGGCTGGTTTGGAAACAAGACTAAGGAGACAACATTATTTAGAATTATTGTTAAATGAGAACACAATCAAGTTCCTTAGGATAGGGACTGTCCTGGTGTTTTGTGCAATTCTTGGTTTAATAGATCCAGGCTTCATCACAGCCTTTACATGCTGCCAATGTATCAACAAAGAAAGCAATAGCAGTTACTGCAATTACTATATTTCTCATCCCTTCATTCATCTTATTGAATTCTTCAATTCACTTTTTTTTTTACATTCTAATTATGTGCCACGTTGAGTAACTTTTTCCATTAATCCATTTCAAAATATTGTCTGTAGGCATCCCTAGATGCCTTCTTGTTCTTGCATTATAAAGTCATGATTTTGGAAGGTAACAGATTTAGAAATCCTCCATGTCCTAAAGCTTAGCATGTGCGTATCTAAAAACATACACTTCAAAGGCACAATGAGGAAAAAAAAACCCTCCTAAATATATAGCACACATATTCTAATACTTCCCTCTAAGCCTTCCTTAAGAGTCACTAATAGAACATGAATTGCATTAGCAGCTTTGTAGACAAATAAATCTAGGTAAGCAAAGATATCTAGATAACCACAGAGGATATTAATTCATTAAAAAAAAAAAATCTCCAGAGAAAGAAGAAAAAAAAATCTTGATGAAACAAGSACCAGGGCATCAAAGACTAGTATAGAGTGGTACAAGCTGGGACAAGAGGAACTTGGTAACTTCATCAAATCCGCTGGTTCAAATGCTCCAACAATGAGTACTGAAACTCCTCATCAGCCCAACAAAGACAAGCCATTGTGTAAGAGGGAAATCAAGGAAGACTTTACAAGGAAATCACCAAAGAGAACAATCAGCAAAAGCTTTGCAAGAAGTACAGAACAAGCCGTAATGTCGGAAATGATGAGAACAAGGAACTCAAACATCTCAGCTTAAACTTAATTTGCAGTGAAAGAAACAAGTGAAGTTTGCATAAAGTAGGAAAAATGAGGAAATGCCATTATGTCCATAAATAATGCCTAGGACAGGCAATCTAACAGTTACAACCTGAGACTCCCATTTGAGTGAGAAATTTGACATGGTAAATTGAATTTGGAATTGGAATTAATTTTCGAGGTAGTTTGTAATTACTAAGCAGATACTTAAGACAATGATGAGATGATGATGAGATGAAGCTAACTGCACAGTCAGCACATTTCAAATCAGAAAAAAAAAAGTTAAAGAATAATTATCCACGATAGCACTGTCTAGTATAACCACTATAACTGTACTTAGGAATAGCAGGAGGCTATTTGGCTCTTTCTGTTATAATTGACTTTGCACTGYTACATTGTGCTAGAAGAAATGATCAGCATAATCAAGATCCTTAAATCAAGCTGCAGAATGCACCATTGAGGTAAGTGAGAAAACAGATGGGGGGAAATGGCTCAGCATAGACAGGAGTTTCAGGGTATCAGTCTCTCATTCTACTGCAAGGTATCACTGGTGATCTTATTTTGAGAGAGACAGTGCATCAGTTACAACTGAAGCACTGTGGACTATAACAATATACTAAATTATCTTCATTTTGTTGACAGTGAAGCTCTGTTAAGAGGCAACTCAGCCAATATGCAAATAAAAACTGAAAGAGTGTGTAGCTTTTCAAAAAAAGACAGAATTAGTAATCATTTATGTTTAAATAAATCCCAGGAAAAATCCCAGCAGGTGCGAACTGAAGTATCTCTTTCAAGGTGAAGAAGTGCACACATTGAGACAATTCTCACTCCAGTGACAGGCAGGGATGTACAAAAGGCAGTCATGTCATCAGCTGGCAAGMTGGAAGCTGCATTCACCAGCTTAGACAAGTTTGGGTATTGAACTAGGATCCATGGATAGAGGGAACTCGCGTTTGTCGCTGCAACACAGAGCTCTGTGGAGCTGCTGGTAGCAGTGCTGAACGGCTACCTTCTTTCCTGGTGTTCACTGGTGTTTGCTGTCAACAGGAAAATGTGAGGCCTGAGATATTTGTTTTCAAATTCAGGTCCTGGATGGGAACATTTCTTGTGTACTTCTGTACACAAGTGTCTCTGCCCCCGCTCCCAGGGCCCTATCTCCTACGCTGGCTCGCTCCTCTCTTCTAGTCAGGCCTTCCACCAGCTCTGCCTGTCTCCGCCACAAACAACTTCTCTCTTCTGCTTCTTGGAAGAGCTGTGTGTGATGCCAAGGAGGGACAGGACGAGTGGGCTACATTTATTGGATATAAGCTGGTAGCACCAGGTGGAAAAGCTTGTTTTTAAATGCAAACAGCAATGAAATACATCTCATCCATTAAAAGTATGTCGAAAGAGAGCAAAATTAAAACTTCTGTGGGAGTGACCAATGTGAGACGTGGGCACCTTACATGTCATTCAAAGACAATATTTGTTGCCACATTCAGCTCATTTAGATTTCTCATTGTGAGTTGTGGCACTATCATTTCATACTGTTGAAAAGCAAAGGAAAGCCACAATTGCAGGACTCTTTTGCATTCTTCATCAGTTGTTAAAAACAGCTAACGTGTTTGCTATTGCTTTCACTCCTGGTTCAGTAATTGATTGCCTCTTGGTTTCTGCTTGTAGTRAAGTGCCATTGGCTGAAGAGCTGGAAATGCCAAAGCACTGAAGATACAGACCACATCAAGCCAAGATGTGGTGGCTTCGTACTGGCTTTATGAAAGAAAACCCATGAGTTTTGTGGKTTTTTTTTTAATTAACAAGATAAATATGAAACTCAGAAAGCCTTATGCTTACTCACTTCTAACAGAAGAGCAGATACAAGTTGAAATCTTTCAACTCCCAGGATAGCTGCACTAGTCAGAATTGACCTGCCTGTTATTCCCACAAATATCATGCTACTGTTATTAGTTTCTGCGTGTTGTAGGAGTCAGATAAAGTTGGTTTCCTTCGCATTCAGCATAAGTTTTGTGTATCTGTGAATACCATGTTGAAGGTTTTCCACCCTTTCAGATGCTGCTGTCGGTGGTTCTGGCTGTGCTGGGGTTCGCGGGAGGTGTGTACTGTGCSGTCATCTCCTCGCTGGGGCTGGTTGGTGGACCTCTGTGTGACACGGGTGATGGAGAGTACATTTACCCTTTCAGGAATGACACTCTGCAGTGAGTATGATTTACAGACTCTTCCAACTTCACATTGCCAGCCTCCCTATACACATTTTTCATATGAAATTTTGAGTTTTCCATAGTGAGTGAATTGTGGTTAAACTTTCCTGGTTAAACTTGAATTCACATTTCTCTGAGCCAGCATGTTTGGGCTGGTCGTCTCCTTGACCAAGGGCTCATCTTTAGGCAAACTTACAGTTTGCTGTGTTGTGCTTGTCAACACCCTTTGTGAAAGTTGCACCAGGCTTTTAGAAGACTGCTGATTTGTGAGCTGTGACTCTCATCAAAGTCAAAGGAAATATTTGATAGGTATGTCACAGCAGTCTGCAAAACCACACTGAGCTGAATCTATCCTACCTACTTCTGGAGAACAAAGTGCCTGACTTYCTTTTAAAGTTAGCCTTGGGAACTACTCTTTTCATGGCAGAGCTGGGGACTGTGGATAGGCTGAGTAGAGATACAATGGCAGGAATGTAGGATATGGAAATGCATTTCAAAACCATTAGGGACCTTTCCCTTTAGTAACTAACTTTGTCATAAAACATAAGGAGGATTCTTGTTGATGCAGCACAGCACAGGACTAGCTCTCCTCTCCAGTCATCGACTAAGTGGATTCTCAAAAAAAAAAATATCAGTAGAACCTGAGACTCACTTTACATCTAGCAAATGAGCTCAAAAAATGTCATGTCTGAAGATGCAAAGCCTCTTTTTATTGCTATGCAAGTCAAAGCTTTTTCATATTTTTGTTTTCTAATATATTGCCATTTATTTTTCTCAATCACAGAGACAATTATTTGTTCAATCAGACAACATGGAGCATTTGCCAAGAACCTGAAAACATCATCCTTTGGAATATTGTCCTTTTCTCTATTCTCCTGGTGATTGGTGTGATTGAAGCTGTCCTTTGTTTCATTCAAGTCATCAATGGGCTTACTGGCTTCATATGTGGCACATGCATGAGAAAACGAAAGGTCAGTATGCAGAGAAAAGTATTTAAAATGTAGGGCACTTGCATTCCTGCTAGTTCTCTTTCTCAGACTCTTTGAACCCAACCAGTTTCTTCTCACTGTTTATTTTCATTGAACAAGGTGCCTGCAGTGGGTCTGGTATCCATCTGGACTATTAACTAATCATCTTTCATTCATTGCCTTTCAGACAAATATTTCCGGAATGTGATTGACTGACAAGACRAACTCCAAGCTGCAGATTCTCATGCAATAAGTCTCATGCACTGAGTTGTATTTATAGTGGGGAAGACAAAGAAAATCAAAATATTCAGGATTTTCAGGGAGGGGGTGACCTGGATTTTTCAAAGCCTTTTATAAAGGTGGAAAAGGATTAGATAATTTAGGATCTGAGATTCCAAATTTTCTTATGTCTAAATGCTCTTGCTAAATCCCTGGTCCAGAAGAAAAGCACTCATCTGTTTAGCCCCAAGCACCCTGCTTGGCCATAAAATACAACAGTTCTCAGGTGGAAGTTCACTACTTACCCTGTGGTTCACGTGGGAAATGGAATCTTTGTTAATATACACATTTATCAGCTGCACTTAACTGGTGCTCTCTGGCTGGATGTAAATAGCTTCTGGTCCCCTCAAAATCTAGGCTTGATCCTGCCTGCCTGTTCCAATTGACTTGCTGACTGAGCGCTCCCAGACCTTAGCTAGGATCTGTGAAGAATATATTGAGCAGCATTGGTGACAATGCAGAAGCAACTGAAGGAAAGAGTTCATCTCCTGAGACACCCCGGAGCGGAATCGTCTTGTGCTTATTCCATAGCTTGCTGTCATACTTGATAGGATCCAATACACGTCAAAATCATCCTCCCAGGAGCATCTGACCRATGTGGTAGCTGTGGAGGTGCATTTCCTTCCATCAACAAGGAATATAGGCTCTTGAGCAAGAGTTCAACAGTGTCACATTTAACAAAAAGGAGGAAAACCTCACCACATTTTTGCCCTCATGAGACTGCATAGGAGATTCACTACAATCTGTGAAGATCTATATGATGGTGCTAGAACAGATCTCATGGATAAGTAGTTAACCAGTAAAGATAAGCATTAAAGCAGTAAAGGTTATAATTATGTGCAGCTTAGTAACAATAGAGATGTAAGAGATATAACCTGAAAGGAAACAAATTGCATCAATGTTAGTGTTACAGCAAGCAGCAGTCCTACAAGGAACTGCGTAATTTACCGTCATCGCTCAAGATCAAGCTCTGGATGCTAAAATCCATGACTGGCAAATTTCATATATTCCATCATTTCTGTGGCTTCTTCAAAGACTAATTTTTAGGCATCTCAGGGTTCTCTGAGTCAGCCAAATTGTGAGATAACTTTTGTCTGTCCTAAGTGCAGGTGTGCAGTTATGGAAACCTGGATTTATATGAAGTACTTGAAGTATGTATCTCAAAAAGAGGCATTTATATTTTCCTGGTCAAAAGTTGCTTATATTTCTAGGTGGTAGCATAGCAGCATGTTATTTGAACACATTTAGACTTTATGAATGGGCATAGCTGTTTGTGCTACTGTCTCCTGCAGCGTACAGAGTCCTTCATACAAACTGCTGCTGGAAATGCCAGAAGAGTATAAAGATGAGCTATGGGTGTAGTGTTTCACCACTAGACACAGGAAATTTGTCCCGTAAAACTGAGAAGTACATTCTGTAAAGAACGCATAAAAGAACAGACAAGCTGGCTGAAGTTTGGAAGCGTAACTCAGTGCACCCAAACCCACTAGCTGGCTTAAAAAAATGATGCTCATTTTAATCTGTGAAGCCCGAACAAAGAGGACATCAAAAGAAAGCCAACTAATTCAACCAGGAAAAGAGACAGGGAGGTAGCTAGAAGAAATGCTACTCAGCATATAGTCAGTGCACCGTCAGAAGAGGAGCTCTCCCAGCTCTTCCCTCAATATCAGCCCTGGCATCTCCTTGATGAAGCCAGTTTGCAGCGTCAGCACTGGGAGAGAGGGAGATACCCAGTGGCACGTCCCATTTCAAGCAAGGAAGTCTACACACTGCTGTTGTCTGCAAGCTGTCCTGCCCTGGGGACTCTTAGTGTCATGTCTATGTGTTAATGGGAAACACTCTCTATCCTGACCACTGTCAATCGCTGGCTTTACTGATGTTTGTAAATATTAAATATTGCTATTCTGAAGTTATTTGCTGGTTTGATTTGTGTGGGCTGCCTTCTATCTAGCTCCAGTGAGAACCAGTAACACATAAATACATAGAAAGCAGAGAGAAATTCATCTTATCTAACTTGAACCTTGATCGGACTTCTTTGGAGGTAGGTGTCAAGTCCAATAGGCTTTGAAGAAAGACAGGTTTCTCTTAGCCYGTTTGGAAAGCAGTGCTTTAAGCAGATGGGAGGAATTATATCTCCAGGCACGGCCCAGTTCTCCACACTGGACAAGAAYATATAGTGCAAGAAATGCACTGAAATATCCTGCCTGGCATCCTCCTTGCCCTGGTGCTTTGTTTTCCTTGGCCCATGGAGCAAAAGCAGTGGATAGGCTGGTCATCTCAGAAACCCCCCATTCCATGACTCTCCAAGCTCTGGTTTAACTGCCCCTTCCCCATCCTTGCTTCATTTTTTTTTTTWAAAA